AAGATCAATGGCAGAGAAATGCTTTTTATTGTTTTGTATGGTGCTCACAGATGAAATGGTTTTTTTTTTTTTTTTTTTTTTTTTTTTTTGTAGAGACAAGTTCTTGCCATTTTGCTCATTTGAACTCCTGGGCTCAAGTGATCCCTCTTTCTAGGCCTCCCAAAATGCTGGGATTATAGGGATGAGCCACCCTACATGGCCCAGATGAAACTTTTTAGGTGAAAAAACTATATATGTGAATGTTCATGATTTTAGTGTCTAAGTCTCAACATTTCCAAGGACAAAAACTATGTAAATAAGAAAGTTAAGCGCATACTTATTATAATAAAACCTGTGTATAGTTAAGACAGCAGTTGGCAAATGTTTTCTGTAAAAGGCAGATGGTAAATATTTTGCACTTTTTGGGTCATATGGTCTTTGTTGCAGCTACTCAACTAAGCCCTGTAGCATGAAAACAGGTACAGATAATACTTAGATGAATGAGCATGCATATTTCCCAGTAAGACCTTATTAATAGACACTAATTTGAATTTCATATAATTTTCACATCACAAATATCTTCTTTTGATTTTTTGTCCCCAACCATTCAAAACGGTAAGAACCATTCATAACTCATGGGCCCTATAAAAACAGGTGGTGGGCTGTGGTGGAGGGTACACACCACCCTGGGGTTCTGCTGTTAGCCATAGTTTGCTGACACCTGGTTTAAGAGAAGAGACCTGTACTTTAATTAATTAATTAATTAATTAACTCATTTATTTATTGAGACAGAGTCTCACTCTGTCATCCAGGCTGGAGTGCAGTGGCATGATCTCGGCTCACTGCAACCACTGCCTCCTGGGTGCAAGCGATTCTCCTGCCTCAACCTCCTGAGTAGCTGGGGTTACAGGCATGTGCCACCACACCCTGCTAATTTTTGTGTTTTTAGTAGAGGTGGGGTTTCACCATGTTGGCCAGGCTGGTCTTGAACTCCTGACTTCAGGTGATCTGCTTGTCTCAGCCTCCCAAAGTGCTAAGATTATAGACATGAGCCACTGTGCCCAATTGAGACTCGTACTTTTAAATTTAAAATAAAAATAAGGATTTAAAACATGCAATTACGAAATGAGGCTAAATTGATTTTTAAAAACCCACCTTTGTTTTGAGTTGTAATAGTTTGACTAACCACAAAATTGTCATTGTCAGAGTATCTCTTATAAATCTTTATGATTTGCCATACTTTTGCTTTAGTAGAACCTCATTTTAGAGTGATCATTCTGAGAAATATGATACTTACATATTTCTAACATTTTACTTGTCCATTTGCCCAAACTAAGAATCAGCAAGACTGGAAATGTAGGAAGTCAAGGGGGCAGAGGATTATAGGATGGAAGCTAGGATCTGAGCAGAGGTCTGTAAAGCCAGAATAGACACGATGATTTGTGAAAACAAGTAATGTCTGAGATCTGGAGACCATGATGAGGTATTGATGAGAAACAACTTTAGTAGAAATAAGGAAATGGAAAATGGAAAAATAAGGTTGTCAAAAAAAAAAATTCAGAGTTCAAAGGTGATAGATCACTTTGGACATTTATAACCTAAAACTTTGTTCTTTAGGTCAGAAGACCTTGGGCTCTATACCTTTTTTTTAAAAAAAAATTTTTAATTTTTAAAATTATATCACCTCTGTTTGAGATCTAATTCTATTGTTTATTAGCTGTGCTATCTTGGGCAAACCTTAATTTCCTCATTCATTCATTCTTCATTATTCATAATGATTGTGCCTTAATTTCCTCATTCGTTAAATGGAATGATAAATATGCTTTTCCTAGGCTTATTGTGAGGACCAAATGAGATAAGTATTTACAACTATATGACTGTTAGTTTATTATTATGAGAGAGGTTTGAGGACAGTGTCGGAAGGATCAGCAACACAGATCTCAAAGTTGCTGATCATTGGCAACTGGACATGCAGCTCAGAGTATGGTGCTTACGATTTTAGGGAGAGTGTATGCTGCCCTAGACTTCTGCTGACATCTGTGATGGGAAGACAGAATTCTCTACATATATGGGATGAACATAGTGGGAAATATTATAATGATGATCTGAAATGGTTGAAAACCTCTGTGTTTAATAATGTAAATCTTATCTTCCAAAAAATAAATAAATCTCTGTCTTTTGCAGCATCAAGCTCCAAAGGCAGGTGAAAGTTTCTAAGTGTAATAGAGAATAGTATAAGTAATTGAGTAAACATAAGTATAGCATTCATGCCTTTCTTTTTTTCTCTCTTACTCCTTTGCATCTGAGTAGCACATTTAACAATATCATTAATCTCTATCAAGTTATTGTATGATTATCAAAGCACATTAACGTTCAGAAACTTGTCTTCATTGCTCCCGTATTCTTTATCCTGCCCACTTTGGAGGCTAAGACTCAGGTAACCCATAAAATATATAATCCTTGTTTCCTACTTTGCTTCTATATCTGGCTCATCTTCGAGTTTCCTATATTGATTTTCCTGTGTCTTCATTCCAGATTCTTATCTGCTGCCTCTGATAGTGACATGTGCTGTGACTTTTCTCTTGCTACCTGGATTCTCACATGCTACCTGCTCTGACTTCCGGTAACTGGCTTTCCTCCCTCTGTCTGGGCACTTTTCTGGTTGCTGAGGCGACTCTAGGATTGCTGAGGCTACTCATGGGCCTCGGCAACCCTGGATTTCTGTTTCTCTGACCTTTAATTCACTGGTGAGATTCAGATGGGTCTTCAAAGTCTTTAATTTTTACATAATGCTTATTTTAAATAAAATGGCAACTCTAAATCTGAAACTAAAAATACTGTGGGGTGAGACTCTGAAATTTGTATTGCATAGTTGACCAAAGGAAAAAAATTACGATGTATCAGGAGATAACTTAGAATAAAAACTAAGAAAAAAAATTAAATATAGATTGTTGGGCCGGGCGCGGTGGCTCAAGCCTGTAATCCCAGCACTGTGGGAGGCCGAGGCGGGTGGATCACGAGGTCAAGAGATCGAGACCATCCTGGCCAACATGGTGAAACCCCGTCTCTACTAAAAATACAAAAAATTAGCT